AAAGTCACATAATGGGCATGGGATTGGAGGAAAAATTAAGAGGACAAAGTCTGATCCCACCAGGTATTAACATCCAGTCAAACATTGGGTGAAAGAAGTGCGTGGCCCCAGGTACGCCTATTTATTTGTTTTGATTAGGCCATTAAATTTGCATTTATCTGACATATGTATGTGTTGAGGGAACCTTTTTTTTAACTTACAACTCAGGCTATCAGGTCTCAAGTCTGTTTCGTGAGAAGCAATCATCATTGGGGAAAAACGATTAGAACGAGGTTTACATGGAAATAGATACTCTCCAGCTAACCCCTGTTCTAAAGTATACAACTAGCTTAGAAGTCTACATTTGCTCTCTTAAGATGTATCACAATACGTAACGGCAGCATCATAATACTCTATAAGTAATAAATCATATTTTCTGATGAAAAGTGCTCTATGCTTAATAAGATTAAATCACTTTCTTTTTTGAAGTGTTTGCATAATGACAGTCTAGCAATAAACAATGTAAACCAAATCCAAGACAAGATATTCTTCTTTTGATGATCTGTCTCCTTATCATGGTGATTTCCCTTTAATTTAAGAAATTTTGCTAATGAAAAAGAATTGGTATCCGAGAAAGATCTCATTTCATGTTTTCCATTCCTTCTGATAAACAATATTGGTTAAAACTGGTGAAAGCCATCAACCCCTGTGTTCTATTGTAGATATTTTAGTTAGCTAGACATCGACATCTGAGTTGTCCGTGGTATATAATGTGTATATTTATATTTAAAAAGTAAATTAATAGTTTGTAACCTTGATAACCTACAGTACATGTTTGGAACTTGATCCAATTTTGTTTTCAATACAATGCTTTCAGAGCAAGACACCCATAATTAAAGGATTAATCAACTAAATTCTCAGGAAAGGTTTTCATTACTCTGCCCAGTTATTGGTCCTAGAGGATGGATTTAGGAAGTCATTTGTGGAGAATTTCCGTCCATAGATTTGATCATTAAAATATCAAATACTTTTGTCCTACATGTTAGCAACTTAACCTTTATACCATTCAAAGGTCTAAACAACAGTAAACCTGATAGTTCTGGAACTGCACATAAGCTAAATGGTGATCAGCAATGAATAATTGAGTAACAATGACTTGTAATTGTATCAGAACCATTTCGTTTCATATCAATAAAGTCCAAGACTAACCCTTAAGTGCTTTATGCTGTAAGCCCTGGCACATTGTACAATTATTGAAATCTATTTACTGACAATCAGCCCATTACCAGAGACTAACACTAAAAGCATTTACAGTCAACTTTGGGATTCGGCAGTGCTGACATACAGAGCCCTGAGGGGTTGCAGCAATATCCCTTCACAGCAGTCATAGTCATTTAATGGACATGGATGTGATTATGGTTTACAAAATGTACTTTAACCACGTCTGTGCCAAAATGTTGCTTTAGGACATTAATCATGAAACAAGGAATGTTTTCTATCTCTTTTTTGCTATTAACTGCCAGTAAGGTTGATTTCTTGGTTGTCTAATATGTTTGAGAATATTGTATGCTAAAAAATACAGCAGCATTAATGTGGCGCGAATGCATTTATAAGAATTTTATTTTTAACATAGCACTTTACATCATCTATTACTTGTGTTCACGTTATTAAATACTGATGTGACAATTATTTTTGCACATTTCCATGTCACCATTAGTGATGTCGCGAACCGTTCGCGAACTTGCCGCGAACGGTTCGCAGCGGTTTGCGGCGAACTCCGGTCAGCTGACATATCCCTGCCAATCTCCGGCAGACCCTCCCTCCCAGACCCTCCCACCTCCTGGACAGCATCCATGTTGAAGCTGCCTTCACCAGACCGCAAGAGTGGCCTGGCTGGGACCCGGGTAAGGAGACAAAACATTAATAAATAATTTGCCCCATTACTGGGGAACCAGGCAAAGGTACCCCTGGCATCTTAACTACTACATTGGGTTGTATTGGTTATGATGGTTACCCTTTAAGCTCATTCCCATATTAAAATGTTGGAACACTACTACTGCTGGTACAAGTAAGCTGATTTTATATATGCCCCTCCTTGCTATCACAAATCCAAATACACCATTAGTGCTAACAGGATTGAATACACTAAAATACAAACAATGAAATGAACATTTCCTCTTTAAGAGAGCTGCGTCATTATTGAAATCATTATTACATCAATTCTCACTATATTGTGTTGCATGACCACCTTTCAGTATTGGCTAAGAATCTGTCGGATAGACAGACAGAGAGATAGACAGACAGACAACAGACAGATAATAATAAAAAAAGATAGATAGATAGATAGATAGATAGATAGGTAGATATGTCAGCCCACTAACACTTAGTCTAGTAATGCAACCACATTGAAATCATCAGGTGTTGTTGAAGAACCCTCTACTTGCATAACCTTACATTCGAAGAGACTTATCTTTAATTTACTAGCACAGTAATTGATTTAAATATGTCTGAAGGAAGCTTAGATAGTATTTTGATTACTTTAACTTGTATAACATTCCATTGCTACCAAAGAATAGAAAAAAGAATGAGAAAAAACAAGAGATCTGCCATTCAAATAATGTATCTATTATTTTCCTTTGTGGTATAGCATGTAGGACTAAATAATGATCCAGCTTCTGCAACCAATCGCTAAACTTTTTTTTTCACTTATGGCCAAAATCACACAACAATTTTTGAAGTGATCACAGTTTACAATTTCTTTTTACTAAAAATGGAAAATGTTGGAACAGACGTGCATGGGTGCTGCTCCTGCTCTAAACATTGAGAAAAAGCCGTTTGCACCAGAATTTTAACCCCAAAAAAACGACCTTGGAGATCCTACAGCCCCACAGAATACTATGGGACGCAAAAACAAAAAAAATGCCCGTCCGGAGAGTGTAACCCACTCAGACATCAGACTTTCTTTTGAACAGCCGCAGGCCCGCAACAAGATGGCGCCGGACAGACCGCATGGCTCTAGTGACTCCAGCGACTCTATAGACGAAGAGGGTCCACGGCAGACCACCAACAGAGTGTACCTGAGAGCGGACTCTGACTCCGATGCCTCTCCCTCCACGAAGGGGGACATCAAAAAACTCCTTCAAGATCTGAGGGCGGTATGGAAGGCGGACCTGGCGGGGGTGCAGGTGGAAGTCGGCGGACTGCAACAACGACTCGCAGCGGCGGAATCCAGAGAGGAAGCCCGTGAGCAGCGCCTGACAGACACCCACTCCCAGGTGGAAACCCTCACACAACAAGTTCACAGCCTTACCCGCACAGTGGCATCACTAGAAGCCAGACACCGCAGGAGGAATATTCGGATCCGCGGAGCTCCAGAAACCGTACAACCGGAGGCCCTCCTGGACTTTGCACACAAAGTACTAAAGGCGATGGGGGTCAGAGAGAATGGTGACTCACCGCTTTTGGTGGCAGCCTTTCGAATAAGGAAGGCACCGACGGCTCCAGCTGACTCACCCAGGGACATAATTGCGGTGACAAGGGACACAGCAGTGAAGTCTGCCATAATGGCCTGTTCCAGGAAAAGCCCCAGCGTGCAGGTAGATGCCTGCTCCATATCAGTGTATGCGGACTTACCATTTTCAGTCCTGCTGGCCAGGCGCAGACTCCTGCCCATCACCAAGTTGCTGAGAGCAAACGACATCAGGTACCGATGGGGGGTCTTGGGAACACTAGTGGTATCCAGGGGGGAGGAAATCCATGTCCTGTCTGCCACAGAGGACCCGACAGACTTCTTGCAGAAACTCCAGCTGCCCCCCTACCTGCAATTCCCCAGACACTACAAGGGACCGGTCGCCCAGCAGCCGTGAAGGCGAAGACACACACACTTGGAGAGAGGGGGAAAAGGGATACCCCCAAGCTGCTAAACCCTCCATGAGACTACCCATACCGGAGGCCTGACGGCCATGAAGCTGCTCCCATAATGACTGTCCATACCTACCAAGAGTTTCAACTTAAAAAAAAAAAAAAATGACCTCCGTCTGAGTTAAAATGTTTGAGTTTACACATTTTATGCCACTTTATGTTTAATTATTTGATTTAAGTATGTGCTTTGGAAGCCCTGAACATGGACACATGAAACCCTAGGGACGATACTGACCACAAAGGTCGTATGACAGTGGGGCACGGGGAATAGGGGGACATGGAAACGGGGACACACGGGACACTAAACCCAGATTCTTACATGGGCCAGGCAACCTCCCGGGAGCTGTCCTCCTTACCCCACTGGATTCCCAGTTACGATACCACCCAGAGCAACAGCCGCACCCATAGGGGGTCCCCAGTGACAACCATGTAATCCGAGCCGGCAGACAAGAGGGTACATTTCAGCGGTTGCTGAGACACAGACAGGACCACACACCAGGCGCACAGCCCCCTTATAAACACTAAAGCCCTTCCATGCCTTTCCCATATTTACACTCAGAGACATGGAACCGCCTCGGTTTACACTGAGAGGAGTCCCGACGACGTACTGACCCAACATACACCCAGAGGACGACAAACGCTAACCATGAAAAGCCAGAATGCGTCCCTGCTCCCCTACACCCTAGAGTGGCCACAAAACTACACTAAACTACAAGCGACACAGTCCGAGCCCATACTATACTGACCTCTACACCCTCGACTGATTATTACCATCATATTGCCGTATTCTGACTTATTATTTCCACGGGTAGCTCTATTGTTATGCACCACGAAGACGCTAGGTTATAAAACCGTTTATGACTTTACTCTGTTTCTGAATTTTAATCACCTAACAACACAATTTGTATTAATATGTTATTTTAGCAAAATGTGCAACTTCTCAATGAATGGATGTCTAATCTTGCCTGCTACTGCTACTGTGGCACTGCAGACATTTCTGTCAAACTTCTTTGCACAACAAAAATAAAGAAAAAAAAAAAAAAAAAGAATCTCATAAAAAAAATGGAAAATGTTACTGACTTAAAAATATAAACTAAAGTCCCAAGTGGAGCAAAAAAGTCCAAATAGTAGAAAGTCCAAGTTAGTAGTGTGGAAATACACTTGCCAGGAGTTCTTTTCAACAAAAGTGTCTGCGGAATTCCTCAATGGAAGTACCAGGGTACATCAGCAGTGGAATCCATATGAAACAACAGAAAAGGAATAATAGGGTAGTATGTTCTTGAAAATTGAAAATCACATTGAGAAGATGCCAGCATCCATAGGAAAGCATTATGAATGCTTTCCTATGAGACCGGCTGAATGGGCGCGCAGCTCCTGCCGCGCATGCGCATTCAGCCGAAGAGGAGGAGTATGTTTTCCTGGCACTATAGTGGTCCTTTAACAAAGAATTGTTAGTTACAAACATTATCATGTCAAGGGAGGTGCTTATGATGTGCTTTTGGTAATGCATAAACATTTGGAACTATTTGAGGGCATTGGTTAAGCACTAGAAAGGACTTTTCAAGTTTCTTCTTGGGTAGGAGACCCTCAGCACTCTCAATGTGGTAGACTACATCTCCCATAATGCTCTTGCAGCCATAATGGTGACATGCATCAGGGCAGATGTGGTCCACAATATCCAGAGTGCCAAAGGTTGCCCACCCCTGCTTCAGATGGTGAATTTGCAAAGTGTCCATTAGTTACAATAAAGTGTTCAGACCTCTACTTTGGAAGATATGTGAATGCGTAAACGTCTAACACATGGTACTGATAACGGTGAAAGTATTGTCAAAAAACTATTGAAAAGGTGAGATTGTCATTCATTCAACACTTTAACATGTTAATAGGTAATGCAAATTATACTGTACTGTGTCCACTGTAAAAATAACAAATCAAGATCAATGTGCACATCTACAAAATCCAACATCACTAATGGGCTGATGATGTTTACATATTTATTTTCAAGAAAATAAGATACAGAAAGCACATTTGAAGTTGTTTACAACATAATTGAGTCATTTAGTAAAGCCTAATCTAAATCAGTAAAGGTTTTGAAAGCTGAATAGACTTCATTGTGGTATCTATAGAATTGTATTGTTTTTTGTTATAAGCATTGCAGCTTTATACTACTCTCTTGCATAGTTTGTGGATAGTCCATACCTGTTTTAAAATGACATATCAGTGTCACAGCATTTTCTACAGGTGTATTAGCATTTACATCTGCCTAAAGGTATTTCTTAACCGTTTAAGTCTAAGTATATTTTGTTTACCATACCACTTCTGTAAAACAAGTAGTTCTTGTTGCTTTTATTTTCTTCATTCCCTGAATGGAAAATGTTGGCGGTTACAGAATTAACTGTTCTCAAATGGTTTAACCTCAAAGTCTCCTCTCCAGTGTCCTTTCTCTCTGCCTTCTCATCCGCTTTCTCAAAAATGTTTGAATGGAAGCCTAGGAGAGTCACTGGGCAGATGTACAGATGATTGGCTTCATCCCCTAAAGGTAAACCAGTGCCAGGGTCCTCCTGGCACAATAACAACTTAATTTTGATTATGTTGTTATGGTACCTGGAGTGTACCTTTATGCTCAGCTTATGTTTGGAAATACCCTTGACAGCTTTCCACAATTCCCAGTTTAATAAATAAACTAGATCAATCGATAGATAGAGATATATAGATAGATAGATAGATATTTTTTTGTTTTATGGAGAAAAATTACTCTAAAATAACTATCAATGATTGGTCCAAAGAGTCTAACAAGGATTCTAACAAGGGGGTGATTCACAAGCCTTTATCAAATCAGTAACATATAACATATCACATTCTCTTTGGACTGGAAGGCAGTGATGGATTTCCTGCCTACAGACACCTCTCTACCAGGGGGCACCTGTTTTCAGCACTTGTAATGTTCCTTTTTAAGCTTAAATAGACTGATGGGAAGAGATAAATATCAGGAGCCTTGGCCAGTGGCCTCTGATGTCCAGTCACCTATCTATGCTTGATATCAGAGCTGCAGGAACAGTTAGACGGTGTAAAAGTCACTGCTGTCACAGCTCTCCCAGTGTCTCTGTCTGAGGCTGGACAGGAAGAGGAAGGCATCATTTCTCATCTTCCCAACAGTAACTTCTCCCACAGGAAATGCCTTGCTGGAGGTGCAGGGACAGCATTGAGTGATGCACACTGTATAACAGCTATTGCAGGGCGAATATCATCAATCTAACTTGTCTACAGAAGACATCAGAAGGTGAGTACTTCGCAAATAACCCTTCAAACTCAACACTAAATGCCTAAACCTGATAATAAAACCTCTATCCTATGTTTAACTTATTTTAAAATTTAAACAACTCATGTACTCCATTACTAAATTTAACCCATATCTAACTCTAAACTCAACAATTGTAAAACACCCCCTATACCCAAATGCTAAATTTAACCCCATTCTAACTCTGAACCAAATAATCCCAAACAGTCTTTTTACTTTAACCCCTCTCAAACCTTTAATCCTATTAACTCTAAACACCCTATGTAATCTAACTCTGATATTATTCACGCTAACCTTGCCCTTTATCCTAAGCACTTTTAATATTGTCTTTAACCCTGCAATGCCTTTACACTGTTGCATACACTCACTATACTCATAGATTCAAACACAATACATTAAAGCAGAGCACAAATATGCACATACCTACATGTATACAAACAGTTATACAACATGTTATGTTGTTTAGATGTCTATCAGCCTGCAATGACCAGTTAATAAATTAATTATACTTATTTAATTTATTGGGTATTTACTCATTCAAATCCACTCCACTTTATATATCTTTTCTGGGGTTGAGGAGTACCTTAGAATTTTGTGCCTACCTACAGGTACCTGTCATGTAAACCCGTCCCTGCATAGAGTAAAAAATAAATCAATCCATCAAGTGTAATGTAAAATTGATCTAAAATTATGCATTTTTAACATGCATTTTTGTTAACTTTAAATCCCATTTGCACTTTATCATACAACCACGTTTAGATGTCTCTTCAGTAAACCAATGTATCAATTTGCAAAGTTTATTTATTTTTTACATTTTTTTAAACTGAATTTACTGAGTATGCAAAGACAAATACCAGCCCTATGTTAATTTAAAGAGTTTAGACTACATATATAGTTCAGGAAAGGTGAATGGCAGAAGAAGATTTTAGGATCTGCTATAGGAGGCTGGTAAAAGCTTAAAGGAGAAAGAGAATAGCTCCCATATGTGAGTGAGGACTAGCAGCAAGAACACATAAAATGTGTCTGGAACCATCATAGTCATTTTATACGTTGATATAGCAGCGGCTGCATAAAGGGTAATATTCAAAATGCAGAATAGCTAAGATGCATAATATTTCAGCTTGATACTTATAGTTTAAAAATTGAAATTCCATTGCTGAAAACTTTCCACCGTTATTGTTTAGGAAACCAAAAAGTGCGTGAAATCCCATAAGTCTGAGAAAAATGAAAGTCCAAGCCCTGGTAGAACGTGCCGATTGACATACTATGAGGTTCATTCATTGAAGGGTTAATATATATATATAAATAAAAATAAGCTTACCTAGAATCCAGCACCAGGCTAAGCTCCGTGTGCTGGTTTCCACGCCCCGCATGACATCACAGCTTCCTCTACTTGATTGGACCATTCTCCCTAGATCAGTGTGTGCACGTGTTCTGTGCCTGGGAGATAAGGAATCAGGGATAGACAAGGAATAAAACAAAAACAGAGCAATAAGAAATGGAGGGGAGAGCCGACATGGATCTGAACAGGGATGGTTACATTGAAGACTCTTCTTGCAGGTAGAAGCTGACCTCCCCTATCACTAATGTGCAGTGCGTGCTGACTGCAAATAGATTTTTTGCACAGGATTGACATTAGCTGAGCCGTGTAAGTCACGCATGCTTGGGGTGTACATAACCTCTGGCTAAGTGCAAATAACGCTGTATGTGCAGACTTTCAAGCAGAAACGCAGCACATACAAATTTCTACTACCATGACCACTTATAAAAGCAGGAATGGTCATAGTCACTAGAGAAACTTTTTATATTGTGACTTGCGACAAGTTGATAAACAATTTGTTGTATATATACCAAAAAAACTTTGCATTTTTTGCAACTCATATCAACTTTGAGAATAAAACTTTACAAAGAATATGCATACTAAACTAATGATTTTATAAACCATTACATTTATTGAGTGAGACAAGGAAAACTGGGTTAAAAAATATTTGAAACTGTCAAAACTGCAAGTTTTTCGTCTGACATGTTGAAAAAAAGACAGATGGCTATTCAGTCAGCCTGGGCTCGATTTGCATTCTGTTGATCCAGGCGAAGATGAATAAAAACGACTGAAGTCTTTTCCAATATTACCGCTAAGTGTGAAGTTTCCTTCCTGGCTCTTTCCTGGTTTTCCCTGGGTCAACATTCCCCTGTGTTTACATTGTCACAACTGTGTATATTCTATTTTGCTAATATGGTATCCAACCCTAAAGATATTTATTTTATCAGCCAGCACAATTTCCGTTGGTAGCGAATTCCAAATATTACTGTCCTTACTGTAAATAACCTTTTACTTTGAAGAAAGTAAATTGGCCTTTTCTTTAATCTCTGAGGATTGCCTAGTGTCATCAACATAACCTCTTAAATGAAATATTCCCTACATGTGCAACCATATATATATGTGGGTAAGGTATTTACTAATTCAAATCCACTTCACTTGTTTTTATAATTTTTTTTTTTATTTTTCATTATATTTCTGCCACCTTTTAAAATACATTATTGCCTAAACACAGAGTTTTTATCGCCTTATGCCCGGGGCATGCAGTTCTTGGTGCCGGGCAGGATGATTTTTTTATTATAATGTATATAATTTGCAGTATACTGATAGCAGCATTTTTCCATCAATTGGTTCACAGATCAAGCAACAAACAGTAATCGATAGAGGGAAAAACAGGAGAAGTGGTAGAATTTGTGAGGTGATTAACGGTTTCAGTAACCAAAGTAAATAACTAACACTCAGTTGGGAGTAAAAACTATCTGCAGACACATTGGCATAAAAGTATTTAATAAATTAATAGAATGGAAGTCTGGAATCAATGCAAAATAAGCTCATATGAAAGACACCCCACATGTTTCCGAGCCCAGAACTGACTGACTGCAATGCTCATATATAGCCGGGAGAAACTCTACAAAGCAAAGTACTATCTTGTCAGGATAGGAAGAGAGAAAATTGCAAAAACTGAAGGAAAATTGCAGAGTATAATAATAAATATCAAGATCTGAAACGTTTATCACATTGTATTTATTCAGTTATTTCACTACAAAGTCGTCTGAATACTCTCTTTATTGGATTCTACAGGTTTGGCTAGAGCTAGCACATAGGCAAGGAATTTTGCAGAGAATTTAAGTGTCACATTATTCCTACACACAAAATATGACATGGCCACAGGCTCCCATATTTAATATTATACAACCTTCTCTAATATTATACACCTGAAGGAAAATTGTACAAATTGTTAATTTAAGTGATTACATATCATTTTAAAAATGTTGGCATTTATTATTAATTTTATTAATTATGTAATATGAATGCGTGGTATTGACATGTTTTCTTAATATAGAGTGAAATTAAACATTTGTTTCCCATTGGGCAGAATTCGGCCATTTTAGAACTAAGCTAAAAAATGATAGAGTACTTAAAACTATTTTTTTATGCGGATATTTATCGTCTTTTTCATAATGGCATTGAGCAGAGTAGCATGTGAGTAACAGTTTACCACAGCTGCAATATTTTGTCATTATGGCCAATAAAAAGCAAGGGAAAGTTAATGTCCAAGTTCATGTAAAGATAACTAAAATGTTTAAATAAGAGTAAACAAAAGTCAAGAAATATGTGTTGGTATAGAATTTTTTTTTTTTTGTCAATCTTTCTTTTATTGAGGCACATAGAGTTGCATGGGAACAGAAGAAAGAAGGGGAGACAGTTAAGATACATTCCAAAAGGGGGTAAAACAATACAGTTGATATCATCTCCGTGAATCGTCTGCCTCTTTTAGTAGATTGTTAACACATCCATAACTGTAAGGTACAATTGTCAAGGTAATACTTAAGCTGCTCTAGTAACAGTATAGGTAGTGTGGGTACAATATGCTAGATAATTAAACAGGCTAGTGTGGTTAAATTAGTTAGTAGTAGTGTTTATATAATGTACATAGACTGCTATCCAAGACGTGCTATATTCTTGTGTTCGAGCCGCTGATTACTATCTTATGACTTTTCGTGTGACTATACAGGCTAGTGACTTCAGACTGAAAATTGCTAGGCAGATGTGTCTGTGAGTAAACAGGCTAGTTAAACATTGAGTCTTGCATGCATTGAGAACATTATACCACTGGGTTCTGGGCCTAGGAATAGTAAACTACGCAACCAATTAGGTCAAAATTATAAGCAACTAAATAAACAAAGCTTAGCTAGTACTTCCTCAACAATAAATGGGGAGTCTCTTATCAGGCATGACTCTTCGCTCGGTGTCTTCAGTGAGTTACCAGGAGCTCTGGGTGTGGTTTTGGGTGCCCGGTCATCCGATCCCCAGTAGCGGCAGAGGTGATACAAGTGTAGGGGAGTCCCAACGATTATCTACCGCAGTGTGCCGTTTCATGGCTCTCTTCCAGCTCCAGGTCTGCAGAAGGGTAAGTATCGCTAGTCCAGTGTCCCTGGTGTTCATGTGGATCAAGTCTGTCCCCTGCCTTAGGTTTGTGGCGGGTCGTGGGTGACTGCGGTCATGGCGGGTAATCTCCCGCTTGCATGGCTGTTGCAGGGAGGCAGTGCCTCGAGGTGTTTTCAGCCTGGAAGGGTAAGCAGCTTGGTGGGTAGGTGGCTGTTTGCGGTGATTGTCGGGTTCAACCGATGGGCAACAGGTGCAGGAGATTGTCCTCCTGCCCCAGGCTGTTGTGATAGCCTCTGGTACTCTGGTTGGGTTGGTCGGCAGTGGCATGGGTCTGTAGTTTGTCCCAAAATGCATGGAACAATGCGTCCAGTCTGGATTCTAGAGTGTCTGGGATTGGCCCTCATGCCTGTGTGGGAGTTTGTGGTTCTTGTGTTTGGGCCTCCGCCATTTTGTGAGATCGGAGTACCTCGAGGCGTCTGCTGTGTTCAGTCAGTTGGGGTAATGGTTGATGCCTCAGTCCATTCTCCCAGTGGGGACCGGCATAACCCTCACCGGTCCAGAGGGGGGGTAGGAGACCAGTGGAGTTGCTTGGTACATCTGGTGTTGGGGTGAGTGTCCGTCTCTCCCCGGCTCCAACTTAGTAGGCTGCACTCAGCGTTTCGTCCTCCCGGCCGCGACGGGTTTCAGAGGGGTGTCCTTTGCTTCCGTGGTGCACTCCCAACATGGGTAGCGCAACCCGGTGAGCCTGTGGGCTATGTAGCCGCTGATTTTACCCCAAATTCAGCCCGTCAGGCGAGAGCTCGTGTTACCCACGTCTTTACTGCTTGGCGGTCAGGCTCCCCCCCCCCGTATAGATTTTTGTCACAAATCTCAAAGTAAAGAAAATATTGTGATACATTAGAAAATCGATTCTCTCTAGGAATAGATTATGTAGCTCTGACATATAAAATGAAAATAATCAATTGATCTTTTTTATTAGCTCAAACTTGGGGGGTGAGCTGTAAAGGTATGGGGAATCTTGTAAAAATTGATTGCAAGGTGAATGCAGCATTATATCAGAAATTACTGGTAGACAATTTTAATTCTTCTGCATGAAGGTGTACATGGGACGCTCTTGGGCTTTCCAGCATGACAATAACCATTAGCACAAGGCCAAGTTGACACTCCAGTGGTTACAGCAGAAAAAGGTGAAGGTTCTGGAGTGGCCATCACAGGCTCCTTACATTAATATCATTGAACCACTCTCAAATGTTTGGTTCATGCTAGAAAACCAAAGACTTTGCATGACCTGGAGGCATTTTGCCAAGATGATTGGGCAACTATATCCCCTGCAAGAATTAGGGGCCCCGTAGACAACTATTACAAAAGATTGTGTGCTGTCATTGATTGCTAAAGGGGGGCAATACACGGTAGTAAGAACTAAGGGTATGCAGACTTTTGAACAGGTCTAATTTTTGCCATTTTTTGTTTAATGATTGTGTCATTCTGTTGAAACCTACAGTTGAATATGAATTCCATAATAAAAGAAAAGAAATGTGTTTTGCCTGCTCACTCATGTTTTCTTTAAAAATTGTACATATATTACCAATTCTCCAAGGGTATGTAAAAATTTTGAGCACTAATGTACTAGCACGAATGTATACTAATGTTCCTATGGAAACTCCTCAAGAAGTATAAGGGCAACACAATGAAATACCTTATATTTATCTTTAATATATTGTTTAATTGGACTCTAAAATTCAAATGCAGAGACAAAATACAACTTTTGTGCTACATGGGCATAGACAGATCCCTGGGGAGAAGACAGGGCACTTTTACATAGCCTTTGGCTACCATCTCCATAAGCACAGTTTTTTGTTCATTGAAGTGAGGTGCATAATCATATACACTTGCTCCAGAACAAGTTGACACCTAGATTAGGAATAACTGAAAAAAAGAGATTGTCTGTTTCCTTGTCATGCAACATGCAACATGCAACCTATGGATAAATGTTCAACAACTGTGAAATGCATAGACTCCAGGTCTGTCTTCAAATAGGGGCAAGTCAGGTTCTTGATCTAGGTGTGACATGTTTAGCCTTCTGAAAAAGTGTCTTTAAATTATAATGTTTTATCCCTTTTAGGCCCTGGACCTGAGATATTCATTACGCTAACGGGCCAATACTTGTTTCCCGGGTTTTGGGAAGGGGGAGGAGCAATGACGTAGGCGCACGTAGCCGGCGTCCTCTTGGAGTGTGGCTGGGGAATGCTCAAATCGAGGAGATGGGGTAGCTCATGCCGGCGGCTTGCCAGGGCTGGATGAGGGGAAAGGACGATGTGTACTTCGAGTGAGAGGTCCTGTCTGAATACAGCCGTGCCCCTAGGGAGCAAGACGATAGGCAGCCCAGGAAAACAATATAAAAATGCTGAGCACCTCATAATGCATGGACAAGATACACTGGAGGAATACTGAAGCCAGTCTAAAGCTACGTGTATAGTTGATGTAACAGAAGCTGGCAAATTAAAACTTAAGGCAAAAGGGACAAGTGTAAATCTCCTAAACAATTGTTTCTGTCCTTCCCTGTTTGTTAAAGCTTTGCTTTTTTTTTTTTTTTTGCTTTATGTCTCTCCCTCCTCTTGCAACCATCTCAATATATGATATAATATGAGGCTTTAGCTGGTTAATAACGATTGGGGAGAGGGGGCAAATTTACTTAATAGAGATCTTCTCTTTTTTTTTTTCCTGTTGGGTATTACTTAGGTTTTTGGGTTTATTAAATTTTATTTAGTTTTTTTTCTCTCCTGTTACTTACCGTAGTGTTATTCCTCCTAAAATTATTCTAATACTGGTAATATATAGGAAAGGAACTGCGACCTTAAAGAAGCAGTGAAGTGGGGGATAGTGAAAAAGGAGAAATAGAAAGGAAAAGAAAGGAGGGAAACAATAAAAGAAAAGAAGAAAGGGGGGGGGAGAGAAGAGGTAAGGGAAAGTAAAACAAGACAAGGAAGGAAAGAGTGTATGAACCCCTGACCACAGGAGTGGGAGAGAAGGGGAAAAAAGGAAAGGAAAAAAGAGAAGAGACTGCGTTAAGAGTACCCAAAAGTACTATAAGAAACCTCTGAAAAAGAAAAAAAAAAGGGAATAGAAAAGAGAAAAGGGAAGGAAAAGGGGGAAAGAGGGGAGAAGGAAGGAAGAGAAAAGGAGAAGAAAACATGGCCACCAAAAAGATGCAAAATGGCAAACACCTGAAGAAAGAAAAATGGAAGGTCAGCTAGAAAAACGTTTGTCTTTCTTCTCACCCTAACTGCCTGGGAATAAATCAAATTTAGATGTGTCACAGCAGACACCTAATCCGATAGAAGGAGAAATGAGCAGTACACAAACAGAGGTATATGATAACTCAAGACAGGAAGAAAACCTATATGAACGATTACTCAGTCATCTAGACACACGATTTGAGAACATTAAGGTGGAAATGCAAGCAAACACACAGGACACCAAGAAAGACCTTTCCCTATTAACCCCAAGGATACAAAGTATTGAAGAAAAACTAGAGATGATCGAAACATGTGAGAAACTCACACCAAGAAGAACATGTCATTCTGGAAAGAAAAATAGCAGATCTGGAAAATAAAATGATAGATTTGGAGGAAAAATCTAAGAATTAGAGTTGTGTCAGAACAAATAAAGACAACAGAATTGGAAACATATATAGAAGATTTTTTTTTAAATATATGAAAGTGGAATGGGATATCAAAAGTCCTATGGTGTCACCGAGTTAACAAACAAAACAACATACCAGACCACCTCCCAAGAGATATATTGGTTTGTTGTTCCTCTTTTAAACTCAAGTTACAGATCCTGAGATCACTGAAAAAGATCAATCTTTCAGGAGAGCATGAAGCGCTAAAGGTCTACCAGGACGTGTCATGGAATACTAGACAGAAGAGGAAGACCTTTGCAGATAGTACAATAGAATTCAGATCCAAGAATTGTAAAAAATAACCTACTAAGTTCCCAGTGAATACTTTTCTAGTAACCTATTTCATTACCCCTACTTACAACCTTTGTGTCACTATACCCCACTCCCTCTAGCATGTAAGCTCATTGAGCAGGGCCCTCAACCCCTCTGTTGCTGTGCGTCCATTTGTCTGGTTACAATTACGTGTCTATAAGTCCACCCATTGTACAGAACTACGGAATTTTGCTGGCGCTATATAAATGATAAAATAATAATAATATAAAATACTGGTGGGGGTTTACCACAAAGATCTTTATACTGCATGAAGGCAGGACCTTAAGTTTCAACCTGGCAGAAGATCTTAAAAGATGGTTGACTCTAAGTAAAGAGATATAAAGAATCAACAGATTAATAACTACCTACTTTGCTAGGAAATAGGAGGGGAGAATGGAGAAAAAGGGGAGAAATAGGAGAAGTAAAGTAAAAAGAAAGGACGGGAAAGTGAAAGGGGGAGAAGAGCGGGGAAAGGGAGGAAAAGGGGAAGGAAAAGCATCTGCAGATTTGTTTATTTATTTTAGTTTTATTTTTTTGTAGTTGTGATTAATGATGATTTATAGATGTACACAATATAAAGAGGAAGTATTTACACTAGCAGAATAAAAATAAATACATTTAGAAATGGCAGACAGCAGGTAATGTGAAGAAATTAGAGGGTTTCTTGGGGGGGAGAAGAGTCACAAGTTAAATAATACAGACCAACTGTTTAAGGTGTTAATTAATACTTATTTAATGACTAAACTGCCACATATACTTATCAACAAACTAACAAGGAATTAAGAGAGTTATGAAGATTTATAGTAAGTGAAAAGGAGAAAATGATGCAGGAGAAAAAGAAAAGAGCACTGTAAAGTTAAAATTAATAAGTGATATGAAATGGTTTACTTACTAGGTGAAAATTAAATAAATGGCACAAGATGGTAAGGGAATAAATAGGAGGAAAAATAGTATAGGGGGTCAATTAGACCTCTACACGATTACAAATTGGAATGAATAGGTTTTTCTTTTTTTTTTAGAGAGAGAGATTCTGGGAATAGAAGCACATAATAAATACTTCACATTTAAGTGAAGTTCAGAACACTATAATGTAATGTCCTAAGGGTTCTTTGGCTGAGTGACGGGGTTGTGATGCCATTACTTTCTTTTATTTTACCTCTTCTCCTCTGTATTGATTTATTTCTATATTTATTTATTTATTTTTGGTACAGTGTGATACCCATTAGATGCTTAGGTTTCTAACCCAGCACGCTTACCCACAGGATAAGTGGGTTCATTTAGTGAGCAATGGGGTATATTGCTTGAGATACAGTATGGCAGGGAGTGTTTGCCATACACAAGCTGTGTCTTAGGCTGATTCCTTTGTTTAGGACCAGCCTGTCTATGTGTGTAATTTTCAAACTTTTTTACATACCCTATGTTATGATAGCCCTGATGTACAAATTGGAGAGAGAGAGCCCTTTGAGCTGGCAGAAATTGTTAAATTAAGCTAGCATCATTGAACGCCCGTGGGATTAACTCACCATTTAAAAGATCCCTAATTCTGGATTTCCTGAATAAAAACCAAATACAAGTTTGTGCATTACAAGAAACACATTGGATAAAAACTGACAAAATTAATATAAGATCTATTAATTATCCGCTTATTATAAGCGTGGCTCTGAAAGAAAAAAAAGTGCGGTGGCCTTTATGTTTTCCAAAAATATATCCATAAACATTAAATACCAAGATGGCTCTATTTATGGAGAATGATCCCTCTTAACTGTCCCGAAAACTGGTCACTAATGTTACATGCCTCTTTTTAAATATTTGTCTGGGATGGAAAGAAACCAAGAGTGAAAATTAAAAATTTAGCCAGGATAAGACAAAATGGAGGTTTGAGTTTCCCAGAAATCCTCAATGTTATCAGGCCTGTAGGCTGATTCATATAATGTTGTCACAGAATACACCCGCAGAAAAGGAAAAATGGTATTCAATAGAGAAAGACAGCACAGGGGTAGACAATTTATCCTCTCTATTCTAGATTTTAGATCTCAATAAAAACTTTACAGCTGAGGCAGGATCCAAATCACATATAATTAGAGATCTAGCAGGTTGGTGGGATATATTTGGAAAAAAAAGTGAATAATGAATAGAATAATAGATGCACTACCAATCTCAGTGATTAATGATATGCTAAATAATATTAGATCAACTCTTGAAAGAGCAAGGGAATAAATACAATTATAGTTATAACAGAGGATTATAAAATCAAGCCCTTTCAACAAATAAGCGAGGAATTCTGTATCCCGCCGAATGATATCTTTAACTACCTTAGAATTAAAGGGTTTTCCTCAGCTTATATGATTAAGAATAGAGAGTGTAAAACAGATGGGATTATTCAACTTTTCAAACTAAAAAACTGTAAAAATATGCTGTCTAAATCTGTTAAAGTCTTATATAAGTTAAGACATGATAAACTTTCCAGAGCAATTGAAAAGTGGGGAAAAGATCTTCATATACAAATAGATGAGGAAGTTTGGAAAAATTATTTTAATAAATTATATAAACACGTCCACTGCTTAAATTTGACAGTTGCAGTTTAAACTTTCAAATAGATGGTATTTGACACTGAATCTTCTAAATAAAATATTTCCAAATACATCCAATAGATGTTGGCGGTGCAATATTGATAAGGGCACTTTATTACATATATGGTGGTACTGCCAACCAATATATATTTATTGGAAAGATATAGTTACATTAATTGATTATATGACCGGAAATAAATAAAAAATGGATCCGGGAACAATTTTATAAAATTTAAATGAGTCAAAAATGAAGACAAAGGATTCAATGTTAATTTTACACATCATTACAGCAGCCAAATTAGTGATAGCATGGAACTGGAAAAATGTACAAATCCCATCCACCCGAGAAGTGATAGCACAAGTAATATGGCAAGCAAAAATGGAAAGAGGCATCTTAGTGAGCTTAGAAAACCGCTACATGCAAATAGAATATTGGGATACGTATATAGATAAATTAGACTTTAAAAAAAAAAAATTATCATAGAGGGTCTCTAATCCAGGTAAATGGAATGAAACAAGGAGGGGGGCAGAGAGATGAATAGTATGTTATGTAATGAGGTGGCAGTGGGTTTTCCATTACACCCGCCTTCCATGTCCGACAAAAAAAGCAATTAAATAAGGAAGGAATGCATGGGTCAAACGGGCGTACAATAAAATTGATGACGATGGTAGTTCAATGAAAAACACTAAAGGGCTCTCTCTCTCCAAATAAAGATAGGGAAGAGTTAGATAAGAAAATGAGACTAAAAGGGTTATTATAGTGATAATCAGGATAGGGATGGGGCAGGGGTGGGAGGGAAGAAACAGGGAAATATATGATGAAATAAAGATTAAACCCATGTATTTTTACTATAGTTAAGAAAAGAAGAAGCATTGTATTAATTATAATAGAGAGACCTCAAAGCTGCTTATTTTGTGTAATAGTTTTAATAACTTTACTTGGTAAGGTATCTATCTGAAATACAAATTTAAATTTAAAAAAATTTGTTTCCCAAAGCCTCTTAGATGCCAGTGGTGGCCGTTAAAAACTGTGTGGGTACCATTTGCTGTACTATTGAAGAATAACTTACAGCTCAATGTAACACTCTATATGTAAATCAACACCATCCACCTAAGCTCACTCCATAACAGAATAACATCATATTTGAATATTTTAACTACTTTTTTTAAAGACCAAGAAATTAAAAACAAAAGTAAAAAAATGGTTAACAAACAGTAACAGAAAAGTTGGCCCAAGCAAGGAACGCTGCTCTGTATGGGGTTGTCTACAATCTGTACACTGGAAACAGTAAATAAACTAATATTTTAAGACCATTTTAAGGCAAATATTGACTTTATGCAACTTGACAAAATTAGAATATAAGCCAAGTTGTTGTCAAGTTGTTTTATCTACCATACTTAAGCAGAAAATACTACCTCACTGGTTTATAGTACATAGTAACTCAAGAACATTTAATAAATGTATCAACAAAAATAATGGGATAGCAATGCGCTGTTTCTAATAAAAAAAAAAAAAAAAAGAATAAATAAAAAACTACTTGCTGCAATGTTGTTGACCAGCTAAAGGTTCTTCCATTAAATTTATATACAGTAATGGGAAAAATAAAGTACACCTTCTTTGAATTCAATGGTTTTACATATCAGTACATAATAAGAATCATCTGTACCTTAGCCGGTCTTAAAATTAGTTAAATACAACAAATGACAAATTATATTGTGTTATGATTTATTTACTTTTAAATACAATTTCTTATTGTGAATGCAAGTTAGAATCGATATGTCATGCACGGTAGCATCAATCAAAAGCTTGTAGCTTACAACAACCATGTTGTATAAGAAATATTGGACGTTCGCTTTTTTCTTAAGAAACAGAGCATGTGAAACTAAATAAAGAAAAAGAAAAGGGTAACTCAGACGTCCAGTTTCACAAAGTTGCTAGTAATGTTTAGCCGGTGTGGTTTAGTCCGTGTGCCTCAAAAGATGGCCACGGGACATCTCATTAGGCACTATAAAAGAGAGTCGAATCCCACCTGAAGCTTTATGTATAGAGTAGGGTGTTACAATAATTAAATGGGTTTGGGGAGAGAATAAGTTACTTGTGCGCATTAAGGGAGGTATGAAATTACTACCCCAATATACCCAGTGGCAAGCTGTGTCATCATCTACTGTTAAGGGCTTATAGTTTATTTAACAAAAATAAAGCCAAAATGGAGAAGCCACATGTGAAAAACGAAGTACACCCTTAATGCTTCTATAGGAATTAAGCGGCTAACTAGCAGACAGGTGCTGCAAATCAATTGCCCTTGATTAATTGGTCATCAGCAAGTGTAACCACCTCTATAAAAGCCGACATTTTAGCAGTTTCTGATCTAGAGCTTTCAGTTGTGTGTTAACATAATGTCAAGAAAGAAAGACATCAGCAATGATCTTACAGAAGCAATTGTGTTTCCAAACAATTTCAAGTCCATCATTTTACAGTAAGAAGGATTCATAAGTGGAAAACATTCAAGACAGTTGCTAATCTTCCCAGCAAATTCACCCCAAGGTCAGACCGTGCAATGCCCAGAGAAATTGCACACAAAAAAGAGTTACATGTCAGACTCTACAGACCTCAGTTAGCAGTTAAATGTTAAAGTTCATGACAGTACAATTAGAAAAAGACTGAACGAGTATGGTTTGTTTAGAATGGTTGCGAATAAAAAATATATTTTCTCTCTAAAAAGAACATAGTAGCACAGCTTAGGTTTGCCATCTTGCACCTGAACAAGCCAGGAGACTTCTGGAACAATGTCCTACGAGAAGACGAGACCAAAGTGGAGATGTTTGGCCATAATGCACAGTGCTTTCATTTGGCAAAAAACAAACACAGCACAAACATCTCATGCCAACTGTCAAGCATAGTGGTGGAATAGTGATGATTTGGGCTTGTTTTGCTGCCACGTGACCTGGGAACCATGTTACATTTAGTTGACTATGAACTTCTCTGTATACCAAAGTATTTTAGAGCCAAATGTGAGGTTATCTGTTTGACAGCTAAAGCTTGGCCGAAATTGAGTCATACAACAGGACAATGAACACATGCACACCAGCATATCTACAACAGAATGGTGGAAAAAGAAAAGAAACAAGGCGTTGCAATAGCCCAGTCAAAGTCCAGACCTCAATCCAATTGAAATGCAATTGGATTGAACCTTAAGAACCTTAAGAGAGCTGTGCATAAACAATTGCCAGCAAACCTCAATAAACTGAAGCAACGTTGTAAAGAAGAGTGGGCCAAAATTCCTCCACAACGATATGAGAGACTGATAGAGTTACACAGAACACAAGTTACTTCAAGTTACTGCTGCTAAAGGTGATTATACAAGCTATTGAAACGTAAGGTGTACTACATTTTTCACACACTTCTCCATTTTGGCTTTATTTTTGTTAAATGAACGATGACACGGTGTAATATGTCGTATTTTTGTTCATCAGAGCTTGTATTTACCTAATACTACGACTGGCTAAGGAACAGATAATTGTTTTCATGTCTTGATATGTAAAACCATAGAATTCAAAGAGGGTGTACTTTCTTTTTCCCATGACTGTATATACACATAATATGAGATATATAAATGCCATAAATTTAACGATTCTGTGGATGTTCAGATAATTCGGTTGGTGTGTGTTTCTTTGTTTTCTTTTAGTTTTCAATAAGAATTTCTGTGCCAAATGTATTTTTCCTTCTTAATTACATGAATGAAATAATAGCGATATATACGAAATACTGGCTATAATTAACCACAAAATAAAAATAGCAGCAAAGCAAATTAGATGTGCAAAAACTTGTGAACACTGTGTTTTGCTACACTGCAAAATGTGCAAGGCTGTTAAAGTTTAAAGAACATTTTAGATTTCTACTTAGTAAAATCTGTCTGTTCGAATGTTGTCTATTTTGGCACATTACATCAATCTGTCATAGACGCTTACCACGGCAGACAGCCTAGCTATCATACAGAAGTGCAGCTGTAAAAGCGCTGTTTTTCTTCATTTTGTGTCAATCACACTTTTCAAATCTCAAACAAACTCCTGGCTGTGTGGAAGAAAGATTCATTGCCAAAATATGTCATGTGTATATTCTATATGCTCCAGAGATCACCTATAAATAGTTTGTTGGCATTCATGTCAGCATATGGTTGGATTATAGTATCCGTGAAAATAGTATCTTATTATGCTAAGAATATCTTTATTGTTTGAGTATTGCTTCAATATTGAGAATGACTTAATTTATGTTTTGAAAGATGGCAACTTCAGCTGTTTTCAGACTGCATCAAGTATTTCTCTGTGAATAAGTGAATTCACTTTTTTGTTTGGATAAAAGATTAAATTAATTGCTGTTAAAAAGGCTGGCGTCAATTGATAATAACCTGACGCCCATGGCGATAAGGTTTTAATCACCACTTTATACAGTGTTGCAAAATAATTAGTATTATAAAAGTTCAAAATGTCTTATAGTCTTACAGTAAAGTGTTGTGCGCTACCTAGCGGCATGTTAAAATCCAGCAATATAAATTATTTGTTGTGTTAGAGAGTAGAACTTTAATATAGTTGGAATTCTAAGAGCACTTTACTCTTTGTGTGCTGTTTCCAATTTTAGTGCTGCTATTCTGACAGTAATATGGCAATTTATTCACAAAACGGTGACACTTGGTGAATTGGAAACCCAGTCAAAATAGCGGAAATTGAAATTTTTGGGGATATATTCCCACCGTAGCTATTTTTGTCTAAATTCAGTAAATTTGATTTGTTTACTGAACTTCAAACTCCAGTGGGTCAATACATAGCTTATCAATGCCCTGCATCAACGATTTACAAAGTCAGATGTATATTTGAAGAAAACAGTAATGAACAGAGTAGCTTCTGTACTTGGTCTGCTGTAGGGTAAAATGCATTGTGTGAAGGCATTTGCATTCATTTTACCGCATTGCTAAACATGCAGGGCTTTGTTAATAAAATTCCAATTTCTACAACAAATATAAAAATAAAAAAACTAATAACTAAAAATAAATAAAACTAAACCAATTAATAAGAAACTTGTTATATATTAATATATATAAATATATTTTATTTTTTTGTAAGTTTTTTTTTTCTATTTATTTTTAAAAAGTTTATAGTCAATTATGATTACAATTTCTTCTTATGATATTAAGTAATACTCAGTGGAACTTTTTAGTTCCAGCGTGAGATTAATTAAAGCAATTATGGCATTTATACTATATTTATTATACTTAGGATTCCATTTTCACAAAATAGCAACAAGTAAACAGTGTGTTTACCTTGTGACTTGCTGATGGCCACATTAAGGATTCTAGTCACCAGGCTCTGCTATCAGACTGACATGTAGGTGTGACATACTAGGGTAGATATTTAGCTAAATGCCAATACCTCTACAAAAGCATATTTGGGCATTTCTTCTCCTTTTCAGGTTATGATTCTAAGATCATAAATGAAGGACCAGATTTTACCATACCCACCACTTTGTGTACTGTAGGAACCTAAGTGAAGTACATATATGTATACATAAACAATACACCAGTTATAATAAATGAATTTCTGATTGTTGTTAAATTTCTGATTTTAAGTTCTTTCAAGGAAAGCGATCATGTCACCTGAGATTTCACACATTTCCAATTCTTTCTGATCATTTTGCATCAAATATAATCCCCTCCCCCTCTTTTTTTTTTTTTTTGCATGACTAGACAGAGCATCAGGGCTGGAGAGAGCTGCACTTATTGGCAGCAAACGATATCTAACAGACGCGACAGGGCTGAAAGACTAATCCAACTGAAAATATAAGCACACATTCTATGCTTGTACTATTTTATATAATATATTGGCTGTACGTTTAAAGTCATTATAATAAGAGCTTTTCCATAGCAGAATGTATCTATTGGTTTTAAAACGCAGAATATCACTACGACTATTTTGTAAATTGCATGATACAACCAAAAAGGTAACATTCTGTCGATGTGTCTGATACAAGATCTTGCATTATAACCTGAATCACACAACATTACTGATAAAAAGCTATTCACCATTTCAAAATGGATGACAGTAACTCAAAGTCATTAAACAATTATGTGGAAAAAAGGCAAATGATTCCTAAGTCAACTTCAATATTTTATCTTTTCAACATTTTCATTATAATGTCCTTCTGAAATACAAGTGAGTTTAGACGTTTTTAGCCACATTTTCTGGATGCATATTTTGTCATGCAAATCAGACTTGCGACAGGAAATGGCCACCATTTTTGATATATACATTCTCTGAAGTTTTGTATCGTAGAGAAATATACTTTAGTTGACATGGTTCTTCTGCAATTAGCCATTATATCATAATGTTCATATTCTCTTCTGTGAATTAACCATTTATTCATGTAAGTGGGGCCTACAGTACACTGCAGTTGGTTGCTAACAGGGCCAGCAGTGAAAGGATTAACAGACACAGATAGCTGAGATTATTTTCATGTTTCTGCAGAAACACTTCAAAGATTCATATTTTAAGTGTATTAACACTTTAAGATGGTGATATATTGCTGCATAAAGCAATCCGTTATATTATTTGTAAATAAGTGATTATCATTATGTAAATAGTGTGCATTTCTACCCCAAAAATACTTTACAAAGACGGAGAGACACATTTTAAAATATAGGAAATAAATGATCTTTGTTCATTCATGAGCCTTGTTCTAAATATGAAATCTCTTGTCTTGAATGCATATTTTGTACTTTGCAGACACGTATTGAGTACAGCGACACACGATAGAAGAAAATTAACTGTTATAGGCAATTGTGCAATAATAGATAAAAAAAAAAGTAAGAATAATTGAAGAACAAATATATGTGTGTATAATATATATATATACACACACAGGCGCGCATACATAGTCAATTTATAGACACTCGCACACACAGACACATAATGACACACACTGACATTTTTGAATTTTCACAATTCTTTTTCTATAAGATGCAAGCATACTCTTTATATTTCAGTTTGATCGTTTGCTATAAGTAATTTTATCCAAAGCTACTTACATGTTCTGTTATATATTTATTATATTTCTGTTTGTTACAAATATTTCTTATTGTTCTCTTGTCGCTGTCTATAACATTTGTCTATTTCCTAGGATATCTATGTACACAATATGTTCGCCTCTGATACAGAGGGTATAGAGATAATAACGTAAGATCTAATAATTGAAAGTATTTTGTGACTCAAGAACACAGCAGACAGATTTTCCCTGCAACTGCTCGACAATTCACAAAATGCAAACTAGTTCAAAGCCAGGTAGTTCATATTTTGCATACTTACGTATCCAGACAATTTGCTGATTCCATAGGTGGAGAATATCATTCTTATTCATAGAGGATAATCAAATTAAGAACTTGTTAGCTTTTCATCCATCTGATCTATTATTGCCAAAGCAGGTGGACACATTCATAAGGAAAAACGATAAAACCAGCTAATAAAAGTAGCTTCCTGAGTTCACACCAAAACCCAAAACAGAAAATGTGCACATCGCACCCTGACGAAAACCAGCAGAACAGAGATACACAGCACAGACTATTGTCTGGGCCAGCGTAATCCAATCAGCATTCACCTGAAGAGCAATTTCGTTAAACCAAAATCTGAACCAACTTCATTACCTCTGATGAGAGCACACAAAGCAAAAGCAATTGTTTCGCATTTTCCCATCTGCTCAGAAAACAACAGACAAATAAACAAGTAAGCTAGTTAATATGGCTACATTATGACGCATTCAATTCAGAACACAAACAACGTTATGTGCGACTTTTCATAGTTTGAGTACAAAATATGAATACGGAGTACATTTATTTTGTTTTTGTAGAATATTGATCCCGGTTTGCCAGACTTGGTGTTAATGTGAATAATCAAGCAGGAATGTCAATCTTCAAAAAAAAAATTAGGCAAATTAGACATGATTTCATGGTATTCTATTGTTGCTTTGTAATCACAGTAATTTTCCTTGGCAAAGCTGCTTCGTGAAGAAGGGGAGTTCTCACCGGATAATTGTGAAAGATATCGAAAGATTCAGGATTTTCAGCATCTGGTTTCAAAAGCACTTCAGATTCAAATTGGCATTTTACGTTATCCTGAAAATTTATTAGAGATTCAGATCATGTCGCTTTAAATGGAAAGGTGAAAGCAGGGTAATTTCAATGTATGAATTATTCAGTCTCATACTGGAGAAATTGCTATCCACGAACTGATTCTCTGACAGTCTTTTTTGCAGACCCTCCATTACGCTTGTCATTTTTATTTCCTTATCTACGATCTCTCTCTCAGTTACTGAGCTTGTCCCTTAGGGCTCAGCTTCAACAAACCAAGTATTTCAAATTGGCAATAACCTAAAATGTGTTGCAGTTTAAAATCGCAGTCTCCACAGGCTACATTTGTTTCCTAAAATCAAACGAAAAACAAACACCACATATCCATGATCATATCTGTTAGATTCTTCGATTTGTTGATTTAGAAACAAAAAGAGAAATGAAGGAAAATGGAGGAGGGCGTCATATCGAAGAAGAGTTATGCTCCTGTAAAAATCCAGCAGATAAAGTAATGCTTTGTGTATTCTCCTTTGTTGTCAGTGTACAAGGCATCCTGGCTGCATAGCATCACGCAAAACCACTGTTAAAGCAGGCTGACTTACAGTAGTGCCCTGGTTTCCAGCAGGAGCAGATAAGGACTGCATTACAGACAGACTAATCCACATGAATGTGCACTTAGATCAAGCACAATTAATGTAGCTGAAATGCAAGAGAGAGCAGGGGGAAAAAATAGACGGTTGCAGCAAATAAACAAAGATCAGAAGAAAAAAAAAGACAAAAATAATATGAGCGCATAGTAATGTGTTTCGTTCAGTGTAGCTCCAACCAACAAGAATTGCAATCCTAGAAATTCTCCACTTGATGGCTGTTTGTGTCACGGCTAGACGGCTGCTGCCCTGTATCCAGAGAAGGATTGGGATTGATTTAGGTCAGTAAGTCTGGCTTCTGTCTCTCTCTCTCTCTTCCTCTTGCTCTCTTTCTCCCTCTCTCTTTTTTGCCAGCCTTACTCATATGAGGAATAAACTGCATCCTTCTGTTTTTCCCGGTGTTCTATGAAGCCAAGGACGTACGAGAATGCTTCATCTACAGAGTGGCTGCAAAGGCCCCAGATATAGATTCTAGCATGCACAGATCCTTTGTCTTAAGGGGTCCTATTCTTTGCAGGTACAGTAGCGTGGCACAGAGAGCTATTATTATACCAGGTGAGAAAACAGATGTTTCTTCGTTCTTCGGAGGCAGTTTGGATTCACGTCTATAAGCAGGGCTTGTTGAATTGAAAAAACGCTGCAAGTTCGATGTCAACGTTTATATCCAGGCTACTTTCTCTCTCTTATCCAACAAAGGGCAATCCTTCTTGTATTCCAAATTCGACATAATGGTAACACCCCAGAAAAAATACAACATAGTCCCGTATTCCGTCCTATGCGTCTGTATTGCCGCATTGCGACTACGAAACTGCAGCAGAAAGAGCTCTTGCAGTTGTGAAAATGTAGAAAGCAGCAGCTCTGTGACACAGCAGTCAGCTGACTTCTAGTGTTATCATTCAATGTCCTTTACAAAAAAAAAAGGCCAATTTTGGCAAAAAAAAAGCATTGCGGCGAAGGACCTGGCATCCTAAAATTTAAAAGAACATTGTACGGAGAAGTGAGACTTCTTCATCTATGCACCTGAAAGTCACTGCTGGTGCTACGCGTGCAGTTTTGCTCACAGGAACTCTGGCCACATGAAGCTAGCTGACTGTCTGAAATCTCAGACATGCTGACGTAGGATTAGGCATCTTCTTTTTTTTTTTAACAAAAAGCTTTTGTTGCTGCTTGCTGATAACTGTTAAGTTTTTCTTATTAAACTAAATGTGTAAGACTGGAATTCTGTTCGTACACACATCCAGCTAAATCCAATAAAAAATATTGGAACTGTTACTGCATATATTTTAGCACAGACACATTTCCGTGCACCTTGAACAAAGAAGATATATCTCACATTTTAATTCCACAAGCTGCTGTTTAAGAAGCGACTATTAACAAGATTGTGAAACATTTAAGTAGGAAACATTCATATGTTTAAGCACATACATTTGTAAAAACAGTAACAAACTGTCTGTCTGTCTACCGGTCTGTCTGTCTATCTGGTGTGCATAGACTGTTTTAGATTTTGATAATTCCTGTTAATACATAATTAAAATAGATGTAAATACTACATAACAGACATGTCATTAAGAGGGGGAGTTTAAAATGAGTCAAATTGAGGATGTGGGGAAATTGAGCAGAAGTGGAGAGCAACACCAGTTATGCTGTGGGGAAAGAGGGATCCTTTATAAATGAACGTGCTTCTTCCAACATTATAGTCAGAACTACCTCTGACATGATAGACAAAACACAAGCAGAACAATCAAGTGCTCACATTCAAGGTCAACAAGTAATCATATTCTGCTCCAGACATCATGACTATTGGAGCTTGGGAAGGTATGGTGCTAAGGAACTAATGTATCATGCCCAGTGGTGTATTTAGGATTTGTGCTGCCTTATGCAGGACGGAGCTGCCCCCACCCAATTTAAATTTTCCCCATCCCTTCCTGTCAAGGCTGCATTTTGACTGACAGACTCTCACTCACTGACAGACGCACACTCACTGACAGACGCATACACTCATTGACAGACACACACTCTCATATACACTGACAAACAATGACATACACACACACTATTACTTGGACACACACTGACAGACGCACACTCACTGACACGCATACACTCATTGACAGACACACACTCTCATATACACTGACAAACAATGACATACACACATTATTACTTGGACACACACTGAAGGACGCACACTCTCACTGACAGACGCACACACTCAATGACAGACGCACGCACTGACAAAAATTTTCCCCACCCCTTCCTGTCAAGGCCACACTTTGACTGACAGACACACACACACTTACAGACATACACACTTACAGACACACACATTCACTTACAGACACACACACATACACACTTACAGACCCATACACTTACAGACACATGCATACATACACATTTCTCCCAACACTCACAACGTATTATTTTTTATTTTTTTATTAAATCCACCATGCCTCCCTGGGAGAGCTGGAGTCAATTACTTACCTGTCCAGTAGGTCTGCTGGTCGGGCAGGCAGGGGGCGGACAGGCAGAGTAGGCGGCGAGGGAGCTTTAATCTTCCTACTCAGCTCCCTCGTGCGTCGCTTAATGATGCTGGGAGCCGGAGTGACGTCATATTCCAGCTCCCGGCTTCATTAATCGGCGCGGAGGGAGCTGAGCAGGAAGAGCTCATTTGAGTATGCTCCCTCGCTGCCCGCTGCCCGCCGCCAGCCTTGGGGAGGCTCAAAAGTGGCCAGCCGGCCAGCTCTTGAGCCCCCCAGGACACGAGGCAAGCAAGGGATCTGCCTGGGTGTTTGGGGGGGAGGGGGCTTTTTTTTGCCGGACCCTGCAAAGTGCCGCCCAAGGCAGATGCCCTGTTTGCCTCATGGAAGGCACGTCCCTGATCATGCCCAGCTATTGTCTCCAACACATACCCACACACACCCTTAAGAAAAAAAAGTAGCATTTTGCATTATTATTATTATAGCTTTTTAATCTCATCTGAACCCCTATCTTCAAGTTAAGGTCCTAAAACATTGTTTACATTACCCAATCACATTAGATTATTATTATTATTATTATTATTATTATTATTATTGGCATTTATATAGTGCCAACAGATTCTGTATCTCTTTACTATATTATAAGAGGGGGGATTTAACTATAAATAGGACAATTACAAAAAAACTTACAGGAACAAGAGGTTGAAGAGGACCTTGCTCAAATGAGCTTACAGTCTATGGGACTAAGATAACTAGTTGCTGGTTCTCCAGTGACTTAGAATATACCTCAATTTGAATGGATTAGGATACCAGCTCAAGGTCAACAGATAGATGTAGAATGTTGAGCAAAACTTGTGCATTCTAAGCAATGAAAACAATCAATGGAAGAAATATCTGTTTTGACAGCCCCAGACCTCAATATACCGCACCATGTTCCTATGACCATGCCAACCTATTGACCCAGTGCCGGTGAGTGTCACAGTGTCTAAGAATCTTGGATTTTCCTGTGGATGTGACATGATTGTCTGATTTCGATCAGAAACCTGTCAAAAAAAACAAAACATTATTGGAATGTGTTTCATTAGATTCATTAGATGCGCTGCCATTTGTGTTCCTTAATGTAGGGTTGCAGATGTCCATATATATGTAAAACCATTTAAAAATGTTTTATTTTACATATATCGTTCAATTGAGCTATAGATGTGAACAATATGCATTATGTAAGATGTTATATCAGGTATAAAACATTTTATCGATTTTTGAATTTTTTTATGTGTTTGAATCAAGTTGACTAAAGTATCTCTCTCATAAAGAGATAGCAAAATCCTCATGTCATTGATCCATTCAAATCCAGATCAAGGTAGTTGTCCCCTATCTGATAAGCATACACAGGATGGCTGGCACTGAGCTCAGACAATCGACTATGGAAACTAGGAGATTCCATATAACTGTTTTAAGTGTTATGAGAGTAGATATGCACAAAATACACAAGCATGATAGAGTCAACACAATCTGGTCCTATGGGTTTAGTCCCCCTATTGGCAAATATAGTCTCTATCGTGACCAACTTGATACCGACAACCTAGTTTTAATATACTTATGCTCGATTTGAAATGTTTTACGTATATACATAGACCTGCGTTTCTTGCTTTGTTACTGTTGATGACTATGCATTCTATTCAATAAAAAGATTTACAAAAAAAACCACAATCTGGTCCTGTAATGATCCAGCAGCCATTCATGTAGTGAAATAAATGGTAAGCACTAAATATGTGTATGTGTTTTCAAACAGAAAAATTAGCTAAGATTTGGGTTTTCGTTAATTCCACCCAAAAACGAATCGAGAATCACCATATAACAAATGACTGATTGAACAAATGGGCCATTAAATGGATTTTCTTTGCCACCATTAGTTAATTTGCTCATATCGCCGACAGGATAATGCAGCCAGTGAGTGTGCCGCAGCTATGTCTTGTGAGCATTTTCTGACCAATCCTGTGACCAGAATTACTGGCCATTCACAATGTAGTGTTATTAGATATGAATTGTTTTATTAGCCAATCACTGTCAAGTTTCTGCACAATTAGATCAATCATGACCTTTAAAGGGATGGCTTTGAAAAGCTGTAAATAGGACGGCCAGTCAGTTTTTCATTTCCTGATATCTGAACAGTGAGACAGCATTGGTTGTTGGATTGTGTTCTGTTTCTTAAAGTGTGCAGTCATACTGAGAGAAATTAAGCTAGCTTGTGAATAAGAGTATTAGTTTTAACCACTGGAGATTTATTCTCTCCATTCCTCAATATTTGTATTTAGTTATACTATTTGTATATATCTAGCGCTTTGACCTGTAAAGCACTGCAGTTTTTTAAATTTATTTTTAGGGACATAACATTTTAGAAACTTACTAGAAAACCCAAATACCTTGTGAATAAAAGAAAATGAATCTTTCAGTAGTTTTAAGCACTGCAGTTTTATTCTCTCCCCTCTCCAACATTTTGATTTAGTTACTGTTATTCGTTTAGCTTTTTGTTGTGTGGATTTTTTTCATTGCAGAAGAAGCAAGTAAGGTAGTTTCAGTTTAGGGTAATGGACGTAGCCCTGTAGAACACAGCGGTGTTAAACTAGTTTGCATTGACTAGAAAAAAGTTTTTAAAAAGTATAAAAAGTTTAAAAACAAATATCCATAAGAGGTTTTTTTTTGCTGTTTTTTGTTAAATACAATCAGTGTACTGAAAATATATTCCAATTTATTCCGTGTACCTTCTTTTTTGTTTACATTTAATTTGATCAAAATGTGTACATTTGGCTCAGTCCTTAAGGGGTTAACAGAAGTGTCTATCTAAAAATGACAGTAATACTTCAATTACTTACATTGTACATATCACATAAGGCATTAACTATTTTACTTAAAACTGATTTATTTTTTTCCATTCTTTATTTTGATTGCTAAAAGATAACAGGGCATATGAAACATACAATAACCAGCATGGCTCAATAGCAATGAACTCAAGTTCTCATGGCAGTATTCCACTCATTTTTAAGTTATTGTGAGTAGGATTCCCTTTTTTTGGGCAGTGTGCGCTAGGGCGGTTAACTTCTATGAAGGGGTCTGGCCTTAGGCCTTGTAGCGCCTTATCGCTCTTATCATTTTAAAGCTTTGAGCCATGGGCTTCGTTAAGGCGTCTTGTGAGAAAAGTAGTTATCAGACTAGCCTTCATGAGCAGTAGTACTCTGCTTGAAGAGCTATTGCTTAAGTGGAAGGCCTAGGATGTTGGCCGTGCATGCATGGGTGCTCTTAAAATGGGAATGCAATAAACTTTAGACCTTTGCACGTTGTATGAAAGGGGATATGGGGGAGGAGGGTATATAACATAACATTGGGCTAGTCCAGTAGGTTACAGAGCCAGTGTAAACATAAGGGAGGGTATGGGTTTATAAGTAGCGGGTCTCAGTTACAGTCAGTCTTGCAAACCATGAACAGTGTGAACTAATATGAGTATCTGTAGGTGCAGCCTTCAGGTGAGTGAGGTGTTTTTCTCAAGTCCCCCCTTCTGGGTACGAAAAGAGTGATTCCTTCAACTGTCCATGA